CGGCTATCTACACTTTAGCCATCATCAGAGTAAATAAGATGATAATCTTGAAAGAATAGAAATTCAGATAAGAATACAGTAAATATCAGATCAGATTTTATCTATACAAATTGAGGAAATTTGACATCTCTTGGTATTTTACATTGATGAACGTATTATTTTGTCTAATAGCTATTGCCTCCGCTATTCTAAGGTCTAATACTTCAGAAAAAGAATGAATTACAGAGAAACAGTCGGATATGTTGTTGGGAACAGGGCTGTTATGGTCTTCAACGAAGTGCTTGTGGATACTGCTGCTACTATAACGGTGCTGTTTACTTCTTCGTTCCAAAGTACAAGTGGTGTACGTATCCGAGATATGAGGCATTACAGCCATCAATGGGGCACACGAAACGATACATAACACGAGCCCTTGTGGAACTGGTTTTCCGGGGTCTTGTAGAGAATGCAGATGAAAGTTTAATTGGTCTGTAGAATCCAGTTACGGAGACTGATTTGTGATCATCTGTGGACTTGACATGATCTTTTACAATATTACGCAGTAATTTCTGGTCTTGCTTGAGAGTCGAAAGGTTGGTAAATTCTACAAAATAATTTATTTCTGATTTATCCATTTCGTCGCTACTAGTTGATTGATACTTTGCGAGGGTATTATTGACGGTTCGTTCCACTATGGCTTGGGGATAGTTACAGTTAGCAAAAACTTGTTTAATTCTCTGAATTTCCGAATGAAACGATGGCCAGTCGGATGAATGTTTCAATGCCCTATTGACAAGTGTTTTCACGACCGACTTTTTATAGTTTAGAGATGAACAGGATTGGAAACTGGAGTAGATACCCTTGTCAGTAGGTTTGATGTAGACTGCTGTGGATAGGTTTCCATTGTCTTGAATACTGAAATTGATATCCAAGAAATGAAATTGGTTGTTGGACGGTGCTTCGTGGGTAAATTTGAGAACAGAGTTGCGGTGCAGGCGTATTTTGAACCAATTCAGATGAGACTTGTTTTCAAAGATGGCTATTATATCATCCACATAACGTCTGTAAAATAGCGGGTTGGAGGCTTTATTTTCATTTAGTAATTTAGTTTCCAAATTGGACATATAAAAGTCTGCAAAGGTTGGGCCGAGTGGGGATCCCATGCTTACTCCATCAAGTTGCGTGTAGGTTTGATTATTGAATTCAAACGGAGTTTGAATTCAATTAGTTGCGTGTAGGTTTGATTATTGAATTCAAACGGAGTTTTGTTCAAAACTCCGTTTTGAACTCCGTTTGAACTCCGTTTGAACTCCGTCAATAATACCCTCGCAAAGTATCAATCAACTAGTAGCGACGACATGGATAAATCAGAAATAAATTATTTTGAAGAATTTACCAACCTTTCGACTTTCAAGCAGGACCAGAAATTACTGCGTAATATTGTAAAAGATCATGTCAAGTCCACAGATGATCACAAATCAGTCTCCGTAACTGGATTCTACAGACCAATTAAACTTTCATCTGCATTCTCTACAAGACCCCGGAAAACCAGTTCCACAAGAGCTCGTGTTGTGTATCGTTTCGTGTGCCCCATTGATGGCTGTAATGCCTCATATCTCGGATACACCACTTGTACTTTGGAACGAAGAAGTAAACAGCACCGTTATAGTAGCAGCAGTACCCAGTCAAGCAGCAATGTGGGCAACGACGTCGATTATTGTGGGTTATGTCATAACGCGGAAGATCCGCCCACTCGATGGTTTGGCAGTCGAGTTTCCCTAAACAATCTTTACAGATGCACGGCGAACTTTCGACTGTGGGTTCATCGCTGATGATCGAAGTAAATGAGAGTAGGCAACTCAACAAACAAAGTGAAAAAATAATTTTCTGCAAACTTGTCGGTTGGCTTTTCATTCTTTTAGAATAATTAATCTGAAATTAATATACATTAACTTCCATATGCTAAAAATAAAATCATGATCTTGTGATAAGCACATAAAAATTGATTATGTTACTGATTAATAATCACAATTAATTAGGTTATCACCGTTACCATTATCTAAAATGAGTTACGTAGAGATCAACTGTTAATGATCTCGTGTCAAAATACGATCATTTGTGTAAAGATCTATAAATAATTTAATATAATTCCATGAGTTTTAATTTAGATAATTTGTTTCTTTAGAATTGCCTGAAATTTTAAGTTATGAGATACGTCACGACTTGTCTATAGTCCATTTGCACTCGAATTTAGAGTTTGTAAATTTTATTATGCAGTTTTGTAGTGTTAGTAGTAAGTAAGAAGAATTCTTTTGAAGGCAGTATAAAGTTTTATGGTGCAACCGTCGCGCGGGCACTCAAGCAGACGACGTTCGGTTTGTAGGACAGGAGAACGAACCAGTCGTGTCGATGCATCATTCGCGTCCAGTAGTGTCGTCTAAGTGCTCTAAGTCTAAGTCCTTCTAAGTGCTCGTTTTCGTTTCCTGTAATATTCCTGTGTATTTAATTACCTTCTACTGTGTCACTAGGAGAGTGATTGGAGGAGAGATCACGTTTTTTTGAAGGCAGGATAAAGTTAGGAGGTGCTACCGTCACGCGGGAACTCAGGCAGACGACATCCGTTTGAACAAAGATCGAACGCTTGGTGCTCATCCATGACTAATTTCCAGTAGTGTCGTCAATCGTGCAGCTACATGTATACTCGCGATGAGATGTCCTTCTAATACGTGCTGGTGTTTCGTTTTCTCTAATGTTCCTGTGTATTTGAATTACCATGTACTGTGTCATTAGGAGAGTGTTTTGAGGAGAGCTCATGTTTTTTGAAGGCAGTATAAAGTTTGAAGGTGCTACCGCCACGCGAGCACTCATGCAGACGACATCCGTTTCAACGCAGCTCGAACGAGCTAGTCGTGCTCATCGATGACTAACTTCCAATAGTGTCGTCAATCGTGCAGCTACAAGTATACTCGGGCTAAGTTGTCCTTCTAATAAGTGCTGGTCTTTCGTATCCTGTAATGTTCCTGTGTATATGAATCACCATGAACTGTGTCAATAGGAGAGTGATTGGAGGAGAGCTCACGTATTTGCGACGATGTGA